AGGCTGTTGCTTTCTCCCTCTCCTCAGGCCCTGCCAGTTACACACCTGTGCTGTAGAGCTGGCACATAGGAGCAAATCCTGCTGCAGCACAAATGTGTAGCTGAGGGTGCTGCACTTCTGGTCTCTTTCAAGAAAGAGATGGACCCAGTGGAGGGAAGGAAGACTCATCACTCCAGGAAATGTAGCCCAAGGAACCTGTGAAGCCATAGGAACTACACTGCTCCAGAGAGGAGCCTGGGGGGGATGATGAGCATGGCTATTGCACTTAACATATATGAAAAACCTGCTGCTAAAAGGAAGAAGCAGCAATTAAAAATAAAGGAAATTCAAAATAGATGATGATAACTATTTGGTGGTTGGAAGGCATGCTTTCCCAATGAATCAGTACATTATTAGTTTGAAGTTTCAGTGGCTGCAAGTCCTTAAGAATTCCCAAGCACATATATTGAGGTTGTATCTCAATCAACTCTACTTATTTAGGGCAAAGAGAAGATGAAAGCTAGACTGTACTCCTTAGGTCCCTGAGGAACTGCAGTATTGGTTGAACCTAGCATTTAAATCAGATGTGAAATAGTTCAGGTCTGTGCTTGTCTGTTTATGTAGTATATTCTTCAGGGACCAGAAGTAAACCTGCATTTTCTCTCATACAAGCATGTGGCATAGCATGCATAAAAAACAAAAGAGTATAACAAATTATACCATATAGACATAGACAGTGCCTAAGTGCAAGGTTTTTTCTTTTTGGCACATACACAAACATAAAATGAGCCTGTATACACATATATATATAGATATTTTAAAAGGATAGTCAGTTGCCAGTTAATATGGTAATCTTGATTGTTTCACGTTCAGATATTGTCAGTATTTTTATTTTGTCCCCATCTAACAAAGTATTAGTCTACATTCAAAAAATGTGTGAATATAAAAATGCTTTGTATATAAAATATCAGCTATGTATAAATATAATGCATTTTCTTGATTTGGGTCTGTTTTGCAAAGGAAAAGGATAAAAATTGAATCATTTCAACTAATTTATTTCCTGTATAATTTGCTGTATGTGTAATAATGTATTAAACTGTGTGACCTGGAGTCAGAGATGTTTTTTCAACTACTGCAAGCCTTGTGTTCCCAGAGAGGCCAGGTCCTGGATGGGGGTTCCTAGGACAGGAATCCTAGAGGAAGCATTTCTAGTTACTGGAAACTCTCTCATGTGTGTGGTGCTTAAGTCAGCAACAGAGGGCTGCCCTAATGTTCTTGCAGTTCATTCAAACACTTTTTACAATTCTTACAGTCAGTTCTCAGCAATTGCTGTTTTCTTACATAGCTGGAATTAAATTCTCTCTCTGAGTGTGTTTTACTGAGCAGGGACAGTGTTATTTACCATTATTGTAAACTATCAGATGGTTTATACCATTTTCCTACAAGTATTTATGCAGTTGTACACTCACTGAAGCATGATCTTCAGTTTTTAGGCATTTACCATGAAGTGGTCCCTCTGCACAGAAACAGACTCCCTGGGCTTCAGTGGCTGCAGTTAGGGTGTCATTTTAGAGAACTAAGGTGCAAGTTTTAAGTTCTCTTCTAAAGTTGTTACTGACTCTCTGAAGATTTCAGTGTGATCTTTTAAGGAGTTACATAATTATATACTCCTCATGTATATTTTTCCTCTTCTTGTGCCATCCCGTTTCCAGGAGGCATAATGGATAGATTTAAAGAATTACATGTAGTATCTGTAAAACATTGCCTAATGCTTAGCTGGACCTCATCTGTTTACAGCAAAGAGCTGGAGTATAATAATTTGAATTGTCCTGTTTGAAGTTTTTAAGAACTCATGTGAACAGCTGGCTAGGTGACTCAATGACCTACATTGCTTCAAGAGAGAAAGCATGATGTGCAGAAAAGAATCAGATTTCATCATGGCACCTGAGGCAGCAGTATATTCCATTTCAAGTTCTCTGAAATACATGTCAGAATTGTTCATGTAACAAATTCAGTAGGTTATTGTGAATGAAGACTTAATGTGATAGCACATAATACATTTTCAAGTCTCCCCCTCTATCCCATATTTAACCTGTTCTGGAAAATACAAGGAAAAAGGACAAATACACCAGCACTAGCTGTGCAAATCCACTACTGCAGGGAATGAGGGGGTCATGTATCAAGTGCTGCCCTGACTCTTGAACAGAAATCCAGTGATAAGTCTGAATTGAAAGTAGCTTTTCATATAGCTAACCACATATCTCATCCAAAAATAAGAAAGCACAGGCCTCTCTTGCTCTCATTGGAGAATGTGAGGTAGAAGGTTCTTCTCTGCTGTCCTTGCTACCTGTCAATATCCAAGGCTAAAAATTGGCCAAACATGTCAGTGTTACAGTATTCAAGGTTCAGGGCTCAGGTGCATAAATACTTAATTTTATTACAAATATACCCTGTTTAATTCACCTGGTAGTCTCAGAGACTGAATGGCTCTGGATTGGAGTGGAGACAATCACAGTTTTACCATTCTCTTTCTCTTCTCTATGAGCAGGCATTTACTGATTTTACATTATAGGTTTTGGGGTTTTGCCTTCTTTTTTTTTTAATACACAACTAAAATTTGTTTATATAGAAGATAATTTGCAAGTCTTTACCTTTGAAAACTGGGATAAATAACTTGACCTAGTAAGTTCTTCCAGAATACAAGACAAGTTTAGGTAAACAAACATAGATAGCTGGCTTAGAGGAGGTATGTCTCTCTGCAGTTAAATCTGCTGCAGGTGATGCATTTGTATTGAGTTTTGAGAAGAGGCTTGAGGCCAATCACTAAGAAAACTCACAAAAATTCCATTTTCAAAGACCATTATATTCCAAGTACTCCTTTTGAGGATTACTCTGATTAGGACACTTTCTATTCTGTTTCTAGTGCACCAATGAGTTGATTTTCTGAGAAAAGATGATTTTTTTAACAGGTTATATATTGCCCTTTCCCCTGAGGCAAAATATGTGTTTTTATTTAAAAGGGAAAAAAAGAAAGGACAGCCTTAAAATAGCTGCTTCTGAAGACTGCAGAACATTTTTGCGTTTGCCTTTGGTTCTGCTTTGCGGCAGAGCAAAAATCTGAATCAGATATTGCTGCCACAGTGTCTCTGGAGTGGTGTGGGAGCTCTACAGTGGGGACTGACAGGTTATTTTTCTGAGAAAAGCAGCATGAAGGACTTTAAATATAGAAGGGAGATAAGATGAAAAAGTAGATCTGTCATCAGGAAAGAACAGAAGCAGGAACCAAACACTTAAATAGCTCTACAGGATTAATACATGCTGCAGAAGGATATTAACTATGCAAATATGTTGTAATTTAAGTTGGCATCACCTCTGGGTCATTTTATCTAGGCATTATTGCCAATATCCATACACAAAATGCTTCTTTTCTCCCCAGAGTAGTAGTTATGTACCCAAAGAAAAGCCACTGAGATTTAAGGTAGCAGAAGAAAAGCATAGGCTAGCCTACAGGGAATAACAGCATTTTCTAAAACCCCATCTGCATTATTTGGGAACTTCTGAAACTTTTGAGAATTTTTCCCCCCAAGGGGGTGTGGAGCAGTGGAACAGACTGCCCAGGGATGCAGTGGAGTCACCATCCCTAGAGGCTTTGAAAAGCCTTGTGCCACAGGGTGAGATGATTTAGATGGGGACTTGGCAGTGCTGAGTTAATGGTTGGACCTTTATGATCTTAAAGGTTTCTTCCAACCTAAATGATCTTAAATGGCTTAAAAATACCCTTAATTTCTCTGTTGCAAAGGAGATGGATTCCATATAGATTCACCCTTCCTTCAGGCAGCATTGCTGTTTTCAAGCACAGCAAAGGAAAAAATAAAATAAAAAAATAAAACAAAAGAAAAATAATAGTTCAAACATTACTGAAGGCAGCTCACATGCAGAAAGCAGCTATAAAAACCCCATTTAGTACAAGTCCCACAACATGTTAGCAAGAACAATATTGAGCTTCAAAGTTTAACCATCAGATAGCCGATAGTTACTGAGGTGCCTCAGCAGGAAGTAGATGCCATATTCAGAGACAGATTTCCCAAATTTAGAAAAAGGAAAGTCCACACCTATAGCCTTCATAGTTGTAGTTATGTACTTCCTGTGAAACAAGGCTTTTTCTGCACTGGAGACATTTTACTGGAGCTGTGCTCATTCAGAACAGGGCTCATTTCAGTCTTTGGAAACTATTTTCAGCAATAACCTGCTAGTCTTAAAGAGTGTCTGCTTTGTTTTAACTGTAATCCTGTTGCTTTAAACACCAGCAAGTCCTGCAAAAATCACATTTGAAAACAGGAAATTGTGCTGTAAGTGGTGTCTAATAAGGGTACAGGACATAAAAACAAAAAACATTTCCTTGTACTCTTCCTACACAATTTGTATTCTTTAAATGCTTAACCCATTCACTATTTGTAAGGTGAAGAAAGGATGAATTAATCAGCATTTTAGTGGCTGAAGAATGTATCAGCAGGTCTCTAATCTGGAACACAGATGTGTTGGATACAAAGCATGTTAATTTCAAGAAAATCCAGTTAGGCATGTCCGGAATCCATTCTTTTTCATTTCAATTAAGGACTTCCTGCAGAGCATACTCGAAATCCAGCAAAGGGTTTGAACCTGGTACCTCTGCATCTTATATGCTTGCTCTAAAACCATTCAGTCATTTGAAGAAAGCTGAAATACAATTTTAAGTACTCTCAAAGGTTCAGAACTTAATTCCATCTCTAAAAAAAATAAAGATTGAAACTATACCTATTCAAATCCTTACCAAATCTTTCACTGGAGAACAGCTGGGGTTGCAACACTAGCCCAGCTGAGGACAAAAAGAAGGTGGAGCAAGCCCAGTTTAGCTGTACTTTTGGAGTTGGTCCTCTCAGCTCAAAGCCTGCTAGCTCTTCAGTGGCCAATGAATAAAGGAATTACCTTTTATAAAGGCAAAAAGCATGGGAAGGTTCAGAACACATGACACCAGCTTAACATACCACCACCATTTGCATGTAGTAACTTTATTGGCAGAAGAAAAATAGGTTTTTTCTTATTTCCTATGATTTAGCTACTGAATCCTGTAATTACTGAACTGGAATTTCACATCAGCAACTAGCAGGGAAAAAAAAAAAGAAAATAGTCAAATCACAGTTTGTGTGTAGAATACTAATTTATGTCATCAGGGGCAGCTGCTGAGGTGTCATTCTGAGTTATAATTACAGGCACCAATTTGTTTTACTCAGCAGCAGGTGGAGATAGCATTTTGTAAACACTGTAACCAAACAATTTCACTTGCAAGGTATTCCCTCTGGAAGCTTTGTAAAATGGGTTTAACCTGCACCAAAAAGCAGTTAGGGATCAGAAAGTGAAGTTAGTCCAAAGCAGGATTTATTGTGGTGCTCAGCTTCAGGCATCTTTATTGGGAGCAGCAGAAACCACAGAGCATCCCCAGGGGCTGTTTATTCCTTTCTTCAGTCCCCTTGGAGATTTACACTTTTCTTGGCCAATGAATTTTCACAGACCTCCCAATGCCAGGCTCAGCCTTCACAGTCCTTCACAGTGGATTATTATCCTTCAGAAGCTGGTCATGAGTAGTTGTTTAAAAATGAAGAACAGTGCAAGAAACAAAAAAAAAAAAAAACCAAAAAGCAAAAATAATACTGGGCAGAAGTTTTAGACCACAGAAGGCATCAGAATAAAGCATTCAGTGTCTCTCTTCTTGTCTAAACTGAGCTCTATCAGTACAGCCAGTCTTACATACAATGAAAAGCACAGGTCTGAAATGCTTTCCGTCAAAGGAGCAGGAGGCCAAGAAAGGCTTCAAACTGGACAATAATGGAGATGTTTACCTTAAAGGATTCTTCAATCAAGGATCTAATGTTAAGATTGCATAACCAGTTTGCTTTATAAAATGATTGGTGGCTCTGAGATGAGGAGATCATCCTCACCTAATGAAGAGTTCTGCTCAGTGTTCACAAAGTTAGGAATGTTAAATTTTGTAAGACAATGTAGGTCTTCCTCAAACATTGCACTGCTCTTGGGAACCTCCTGGAAGTGGGTATTACTCTCCAGACTTTGACCTTTCTGACTTTCTTTTTCTTTGTTCATATGGTCCACTTCATTAATGCAGAAATGGAAAAGTGACTGGGATTCTTCAGCCATTTGGTGAGAAAAGACCCTCTCAGACTCCAAAGGTCTTCCGAATTCTGCCACAAAGCTCTTCATGTGAAATCTTTTTTCAGAAAGCTCTGCATTGCTATAGAGGAAAAAGAAAAATGCAGTAAACACAAAAGTAAAACTATTTGAATTCTTATCAACTAGCTTGGTTTCAGGAACCATTATGATCAGGATAAAAGGAAACCCTACAGTTTATCTACCACAGACTTTTAAAGCCAGCACTATTTATTATTTTCAGCTGAAGCAATGTTAAGTCTTCATTTGTCATGACAATTTTCCATGGGAATAAGTTAATGCCAGCACTCTTAAATGGCACTTCTAGTAATCAACAGACTGTAATAATCACCTCACTGAAGGAGTTTATAAACACTCTTGATTTCAAGTAGTAACAATTGTTTTAAATGGCTCATAAGAACAGTTTGAGAAAAGTCCTTGATAGACAAAATGTTTCTGAGGCACAGGCAGCTCTGCTCTCACTGAGGGCACCGAGTGCTTGCTTGTCCAGACATCAAACCCTCTTTTCCACTGACTTCAGTCAATGACATTCAGATTTCCAAATTAGGAGAGCTGGAACTAAAGACTGCTTTAGACACTGGCAGTCTTAACCATCCCAGCAGCTGGAAGGATAGTTTAACATGTTTTTTGGCAGTTTTCTTTATAAACCTTAGCTCAAACCAGCACCAGTCTGCATGGACTCAAGCAGGAGCCATTTGCAGTTGAGGGTGAGAAGAGCTCAAGCTAGAGAGCAGTTCTACAGATTCATTCTTTGTCGGGCTGAATTTACATGCTCTCATCACAAAATGCAAGTTATTTGCATTTGGAAGGCAGTAGAGGTATTCAGAGAATGAGCCATGAAACACATTCTCAGAACATGAATTTTTTTAAGAACTAATAAGTCATACTGTTTAGATCTGGAGATGTAGCAAATGATGCTGGAGTCAGATAATTGCACACCTAAAGGTCCACCCAGCACTGAAGAGTTTTTCAGTGAAATTTCATTTCCTCAAGCCTGCAGAGGGAGATAAGTGCCTCAGATGACACCTTCAGAAATCCACCCACTAAAATTTTCACGGGATACCTACCATTAGTCTTTCAGGCACAGTTAAAGATCCCTGCCTCTCAAAAGCTAATTTACTTCCATTACATGATGGGGGAATTCTATCCTCACAAAATCACTTCCACTAGCCCAGAAATCAAAGCAGTTCTCTAGTTTGTCAAAACTGTATTGGCTCACTCTGCATTTCAAAGTGAACCAGGTAGAACAATAATGTTCAATTGATGTAAGACTGACCAGTAACCAAGTAATAATCTGCTGTATGCACAGCAGGGGCCAAACAGCCTGGAATAATTCTGAGCTGACAACTGACATTTATGTATTTATAATGCAGTAAAAAGCACCACTCTGAGTTTAAGTTTCATATATAATTTGGCAAATTGTCTGTGTTGCGGCACAGGCAACAGAAGTGGCAAATAAGGACAGAAAGAAGGACAAGCCCTGTAAGCCCAGGAAGAAGCAACTGCAGGAGAAAGTTTAAAATTAATTCACTGCAGGAGTGGAATTACTTCATAGGTATGGCAGGTGCTTCATAATCCAGTGAAGTGTGAGGGAGCAAAAGCTGACCATGCAGAGGGGCACACAAGACTGGCAATGGCAACCTGATCTTAATGGAAGATGCAAATAAATTTCACAATGCCTCAGACTATTAAGGATCTATGATGAAGCATAAACCCTGCTCATGAGCAGGGAAAACATGATCTAATATATAGTGATATTTTTGGATTTTGAAATTCACAAACACCATCTTTGAAATTCAGAGTGCAATTTTATTACATTTTTTAAAAACTAGACTAGAAACTAGCATAGTCTTGCTCATTACAATCTGCAATAATTCCTCAGCAGGTATCTTTTCAGCCCACTCAAGAAAAGCAGCCTCAAAAATCCCAGGTTTACTTAAACAAGATCAACTGATTTCTTAAAAAAAAAACGTTATCTAACATTTACTGCTTTGAGATTACACCAGCCATTATTTTGTACAAATAGGTTGCGTGATCTCTTGCATTTGTTGCACAAATGTGCTCTTAAGGATGTGTTCAAATGCAGAAACAAACATGGCATGCTTTCCTCTCCTAGTGATTAATAAAAGCATTTTTTGGAAATTCAGATATTGCGAAATTTTTTTTTTCAGTTGCTACAAGCTAATGTTCCACACATACTCATGCATGCAAGGAAACAAAAGATAAATGCAACAGACTTAATTTCCATAACTTCTTTAAATTTCTGTCAGTCCCCATCCATACCCTATCCATTCTGGTCTGAGAATGTACCTAATTCTGAACATCTTGTGTAATTTTGAAAAGTACATCCTATCATGGCCCTTTATATTGAGCCAAGAAAAGCCTACTACTAGGAAAAAAAAAAAACCAGAGTATTCTACTTTGGATCCATCCATCTGAGCCCAGACACACCTAATCTCTCACATTAATGGTACTTCAAAGAGCAGCCAGATAACCTTCCTGAAGTCAGAGACCTGGGAATCCTGTTAACATCTATTTTCTGTTTCCTAGGAGGGCTCAAGGCAGCCCACTAATGAAATACCAAGCCAGGAAGACTCCAGTCAGGCATGGAAATAGAAGGTGCAGGCAAACTAAAACAAGTGGTTTACAGGTAGCTGTTCTCCAGTTTTTATACACATGTATCAAAAATAAGAGAATCCAGCTGTATTCCCTGCCCTTAGCATATTCCCAGAGGATCCATGTTCAGTACCATGAGAATTTCATTACCAAATGTCAAAAAACTGCTCAAATTTGTTAAAGATGCCAGCTCAGCATGCATGGCAAGCACTCAGGCACACAGCTCCCAAAGCTGCAAACAGATCCATAGCAAATATAAAAAGGAACAATTGGTCTTACTCCAGCAACTGAAGAAAAATTATAATAAGGCATAGAAGGGACTTCTGGAAGTCTCAAGAAAGGCAAGTCTGAATCCTGATTACATTATCTGGATGAAGATAACCAAAGGTGGGCATTTCACAAACTCTTAAGGACAGTGTTCTGAGAAAATTGATGAAAAAAGCAGAAAAAAGTGGGAGATATGAAGCAAGCCTCTGCTACCTGGAAGTAAATTTTTACAAGTATAAATTTTTTTGGCAAATATCCATATTAAATTCTCTCAATATATGTATTTTTTACTTCATCATGTTTTCCCTTTTCAGATTGTCCACATGAGATCCAGACTCATGCTCAGCTAATAAATAAAATCTTTGTGAAAAGGAGGCAGCACACCAACAATTACAGGGATTTTAAATCTGTTTGGGACCAATGTCTGGCTACTTCATAACACTCTGTAGGGGAAGCAAAAATACCAGCACATCAGTTCTGGTAAGCTGGATTCTTCTGATTCTATTTTTTTCTCACAGGAGCAAAACTTCAGGAGCACAGAAGAGGCTGAGGATGTACATCAGCCATCTCTAACATGGCCCTGTCTCTGGAGATGTGCTATTACACAGAGTTCCAGAGCCAGTTTACATGTGATTAAATAGCAAAGGGGCTCCAGGAGGCAGAGACAGGCTGCTTTAGGAAGTGATAAACACCAGCAATTGCCTTTTACAATCATCTTCTCATCACTGCTACCTGCCTGCAAGCAATCTCACACTCCAGAGAGGCTTTTTATTTCCACTTTATGGCACACAAGCCTGAGAGGAGATGTGGGTTCACACTTTCTCAGAGGAAGGGACACTGACAGCCTGCATCCTCTGCAAATGCAGATAAACCACTGAGGCAAGGCATGGTCTGCACATACTTATCAGCCAGAAAGAATAAAAAACTGAAGACTTTCAAGGGACCCTGGCTTTAAAGAAATGTTGAGCTGGTCTCTACTTCAGCATCTATTGCAATTTCTCAGCAGAAATCAACACTCGGTCTCAGGGGTTAAGGGAAGATTTTGCAAACACTACCCAAATCTATCCTTAGACTTGAACAAACAAACATTTGGAAACTAACCAAATTCAACATCTGCACTGCATTTTATCTGTACCTACTCTGTTGATATTCACAGTATCACTCCATGAAAACTTGAGCCTACTTAGAACCATCCCACTAAAGGCTCCTGTTTGGCAGCCCACCCAAAACATCCTTTTAGAATGAAAATGCTAAGATTTCTTGAAATGAAGACAGGCTGCACTGTTTCATAAGAACAGACTAAAACAAGGTGGTAGAGTGTCAGCACTGTCACTGCTGGTCTAGGGCTGCAAGAGCCCAGGTGTGCCACTCAGCAGCCTGGATTTGTTATTCCCATTTTCAGACTCACTCTTGATGTGGCGCTCCTGTCTTCGTCAGCAGGGTCAGGACAAAAAACATGAAGATGACAAAAACTGCAAGACCAACCCAAAATCCAATCACAATGGAATCTGGTGAAAGAAAAAGAAACAAAATTATCAATATTTTACTTGCACTTGCAAAAAGTTGCCTTCTACAGGCAGCATGAGTGCAAACCCAAAATAATTTGCAGCTTATTTCTGGGTGACAAAGGGAAAATCAAATTTATTTTTATCTATTTTTAAACAGAAAGCTGCCACTGAGAATCTCATTTCAAGACCAAATCTTACTGATATCTATGCAAACCAGACAGTAGATAACAGAGGGAAGACAATTCTCTTGGTAAGTAAAATAAGAGGAGCTCTCTGTGTGATGCCAGGCCCATTTCCAAGCTTTGGAACTTCAGTGCTAGAACTAGGAAGGGAGGATTATATGATTTTCCTCAAAATCCTCTGTCTCTGTAGAACTGAACTCCTGCTATTTTAAGTTATTTCTGCCCCAGACCATTAAGTTTCCGGATTCAAATATAATTCTTTGACAAAATATGTTTAGGAAGACCTTTAAGTGGCAGGACAGAGGGTTCTGCAAGAAACAGAACCACAGATAAAACTACTTGCTACTTCAATAAATATCAATAACCAACAGATACCAGATGTTTTTGAATAATTTTCAATTTGGGTTTCCAACTAAAGTATAGAAAAGTGCAACACAGTGTCAAAGGAGCACAATAGATTTGGACAAAAAATCAAACCAGCAGTTAATCAATAGGAAAACCAGTGCAGTAGCCAAATACAGCAGCCATTGGGAAGAGCATGGCCTTTTGCCTGTGTGCTTAAACTCCAACTACTGTTCTCATTTACAGCAAATGGATGTAGGCAATTTGCCAGCACTACTAAAAACAAATCTATGTCCATTTACAACTTCAAGGTGGGTCCACAGCTGCTCCAAGCTGTTCAGAGTCTCCAGGAATTTGATTTAGAGAGGTTCAAGTGGAACAAAGATATTTCCAGACACAATCAACTGATTAGCACGGACCAAAGTTAGAGAGCACCAACACTCAATATTACCTGGCCCAGGACCCATCAGCACTCTGGTTTTTTTCACCTGTCATTTCAGTAAGTTATTCTTTACCTATACAAGTATTCAACACTTCCACTGTAGAAGATAAAAAACAGTAACATACAAACATTCAGGAGGGAAGGCTTGGTCAGGAATCCTTTCTACCCTTACCTCTCCTGACACAGCCACTACCAAACCTCAGAGACCTCACTGGCTGTAATGTCTGACCCAGTGCAGCAGGCACAGCACAAAACTGCTAAATTTCCTGAAAAAACAAGGAATCAGCTATCCTACCTGGTGTTTGGCCCAGCTGTTAATCATGCTCCCACTGTGGAATATCTCCCATGCTAAAAGGCAGATGTGGAAACTGGAAATCAACTCAAACCATTCTCTCTTTTTTCTGCAAAGTCAAAATGCCTGCTCCAACGTGAGATTTTCTCACTGAGAAAATACTCTATCACAATGAAGTCTCTTCTTAATCCCTTTCTTAGGTAGCTAAGGAGGTCAAGTTTCAAGTCTCCCACTGTAATATTCATTCCATCTCTCCTATGCCATCTCTCCTCTCAATACCTTGTGTAAAATAACTGGAATGTGGCTTGAGTATAGATCTCTGTGATGGAGGTGAGGAGATTTTAATACCCCTTTCTGCTTAAAGCATTCTGCCATGAGCTTTTTTCTGTAATTCCATATATTATGTGCACTAAATTACTTTCAGAATCATTCTGTAAGCACAGCCTGTATTCACTGGTTAAAGATGTACCTTACCTTCCTAATATAAAATAGACTTGGTAGTACCTGAAGATTTAATCTAAAAATAAGTACTGCCTTTAAAAAAATACCATTTAAGCATTTATAGCTACTAGTACCTTCCAGTTAGTCAGATATGCTGGGATGGTATGCAGCTGCATTAACAACCAGAATGTAAAATGCAATCAAGATGACTAAAAAAATATACACATAGATTATTTCAATCAAGCTGAAAAACTTAACTAAAAGGAAGAAAGAAAAAAAAGAAAATCAAGACTCCAGTAAACTACTGCTCCCCACAAAAATCACACCTGCTATTGTGTGCTGAATAACAAGTCTGTTTTTTGGTTGGTTTGGTGCCCCTGCTCCCAACAGAATTCTTAAGTTTATTGAGCCTAATGCTACTCCTTCCTTGCTTTATTGTGCCTCCAGACACACTTCCAACTCTCTGCTGCATAAATTACATTGTTTGAATTAATTTAAAATTCAAGCAGGTATCCTGAGTTCTCTTCAATATTTGATTTAGGTCTCACTCACTTCAGTGGAAATTATTCAAACCTACTAAATTCTAAACACTTATTCAAAATTAACAGGACATAACCTAACTTTTGTTCAAAAAATATGGTATGAAGGACATTTATGCTGCCCAAAGTTACAAGCAGATATTCATACGATACTTTTACATTATCAAGTTGCAGTTTTGACCTTTCTTTTCTTCATTACACAGATTCATAACATCCTGGCAGCAGTTCCAATCCTCTGATCATTGCTACCTATTTTTCCTCTCACTAGCATAACTAATATGCTGAGGCTTCCTCATTTTCAAAGGCACAAAAATGTCATTTTGTTCTTATCTCTGCTAGTCACAAGTATCTCCTCACTATCTTTGTCTATTTACTTTCTAAAGCTTCTATGTATAAGATATTTGGTCCCTACTTTTCCAGATGTTTTGATTTCTAGTTCCTGCCTTTGTTCTCATCTTATCACAGGGGTTCCATACCGTTGTCTCCTTATCGCAAAAGTTCCATACCTGCTTGGTGTTTCTCGTGGGCAGCTCCTCAGAGCACTGACTCTCTTTTCCTCACAAAGCCACCAAATGACCCCAATTCCCATCTCACCCACCCACCCCACTCTTTTATAGCACTCTTCTTCCCATTGGTTACAGCTCTGGCCTGGTAAAGTCAGGCCTGTTCCTAATCTTTGATAATTGGCCCAGCTGCAACTCCTTAGGGGTAAGATTACTTTCTACACTATCTTTATTTTCTTATAGTCTATCCCACTACATAGCTTCACTTCTTTTCCAACAGAACATACTTTTTGCCTTTTTTTTTTTCCTTTTGCAGTCATATATTTGAAACATCATTGTGGCATCTTATTTTTTTTCTGGTGTAGTAGATTATTTGGTCAATTCTTTTTCTCACAGGTCACTTTGAATACATTTTTCTCTGCTTTCAGAAAACAGGCTTCTGAATTTCTTTATATTAAAATCAAATCACCTGTACTGGAGTCCATTCCCTGTTGAACTCTCCAACATAAGTTACAAGTATTCATTGACACCTTTTCTTTGTAAGTATTCAAGGTCTCCCTCCTCATACAACCCTTGTTTAATCTCCTGTCCTTCTCCCCAGTTTAGGATTTCAGAGAAGTTCACGTCTGATCACATTGCCTCCACATTTCACAACAATCTCAGCTCAGCTGGCAATAGCTGGAACAAGAACACACCACGTCAAGAAGTATCATTCCATACACAGCACAGACAATTCCTTTAGTAGATTAAATTCTGCCCTCTGGGGAATGCATGCAACAACAGTGAAGGAAACAGAGGCAACTCCAATCTATCAGTTAAAGCAAACAAAGAAACAAACAAAAACTAAAGAAAATCCACCCTAACTAGAAGGACTGCCTAGATCACTGATTCAAGTACTACTAATGCCATCTTTCATCAAGCTCCACATGAAAAGCAGTTTTTACTTCTGCCCCATTCTCTAAGACCTGTTCAGGACCTTCTGCTCTATGAACAGCAGACAGGGAAGCTCAGCTGCCATGCTCAGCATGGCAATAACCTTGGGGGCAATCCAAGACCCGACTTGCAGCTGTGCCTTCTGCAATCCAGAGGCAGATGTCATTTATACCTTTTTGTCCCATCATGCTGTTTGAGACACTGAGATGAAAAGAAGCGTGCATAACATTTCAGCTGATTTTTGCAATCAGGTCTAACCTCTGATTAAGTGGAAGAATGGAAGATTAATTAAAAACATGATGAAAGCTAGCCCACATTTTTCAATTACCTATCACTTGTAAAAATACAGACAGCAATCAGGTTTAACCTCTGATTAAGTGTAAGAGTGGAAGATAAAAACATAATGAAAGCTAACCCACATTTTTCAATTACCTATCACTTGTAAAAATAGAGACAGTAATCAGCAGACTTTTTTTGAGGGAAAAAATAAAAAGTAAATTCTACTCTCGTGTTTTTTCAGAAGTGTTAGTAATTTCAACAAGTTTCTTCTGTCCCTTGCAGAGCCTCCCCAAAACCTTCTGACTGTGTAGAGGAAAGGGAGATTTGCCTTTCTGAGCTGCTGTTTGCCAGTGCAGGCACTACTTTTTCCCAGGCTGAATGCTCATTGGGACAAATGAGACAAAGTATATAATCCATCCTGGACCAGTGCTCCAGCACTGGATGGGAACCCTTCCCCAGAACTTTAAAGTCTGGGATCAAACCCTTCCACAGTGTATCTACCTCAGAAACAAAGAAACAGGAGGGGTTTTTTCTCTTCTGCAAAGTGCTTGCAAGACACATCAGGTAATTGAGTCAGTTTCTGTTACTTTTTCCTCCCTCTTTTATTGTTTGTCCTTCACAATCATCTCCTCTAAAAGGAAAGATCGTCAAATCCATTGTCTACTTTTTAGAAAAATGTTAGTCCAGCTGTATTAGCCTGTCCTAGTTACACCTTCTCCAAGTTCCAATCCACAGTTTTCATCTTTCTGGTACCTATCTGCCATTTTTTGCTTTTACTCTAAAACAACTCCAGTATTAACAGAAGTGAATTTAGCACACTCCTCCTACAAAGAAAGTACCAATGGCAAGTTTGTTCATAAGGAGAAAATTCTTCTCCTATTTTCAACATTTTAAAAACCGAAAATTTATTTTCTATCAGGAAAACCAAACACAGCTAGTGCAGGTAAGGCTCCCCATCACTGCCTTTTTACCATTAACAGAATCGAATATTACCATTAATACAAACAAATAGAACCAAAACAAAGCAACACTGATCTAACAAGTAGTCACCAGAAGCGGCAGTTTATCTGTATTTGTTGCTGTTAACTTTTCCTGACAGTGAGATATTCCTCAGTATTGACAAATTCCTACCACAGCCAACAAATCCATGGTTCTCTCATGCACAAGTCAACAAAAGGATACAGAATAATAAATAATAATGATGATCTAATAGAGGGATACTGCTAATTGCAGAGACTCCTAGGAATTAGGAGAGGAATGTTTTTATACAATATGCAGTCACAAGTGAAGAACAGGAACACAGGAAGCTGAGCTGCATGAAGTGTGTCTCCACTGAACTTACACTTATGAGCCTTGAGGCCTTCAAATGACACAGGTCCGTACTCATAGTACTCGTAGTCCCAGGTGTAATCAGAGTTGGACAAGGCCTGCTGGGAGGTCCTGTTAGAGATCAGCCTCAGGGCAGACATCCTGCACCTCAGCAAATACAGACCTGTGGAGATGAAATGTGTTAATGGAGATACACCTAGCAGCACAGCTTTTGGGTTTTTGCTCTTTCTCATCTATTGGATCACTTCCCCACCCCTGCTCCCAAGAGCAGCCACTGCCTCTTCAGGCTGCCCCATCCCATCCCCTTCCTTCCCCTAACTGCAGACACAGACTCTGGGGCCCAGAGAAAGGCAACCAAGATGTTTAGGGAGCTGAAGCACAAAGGGTTTGTTCAGCCTGGAGAAGGGACAGCTGCAGGGAGACCTCAGTGCTGTCTTCACTTAGAGGGTGCAGAGATGCCACTGCCAGGCTCTTCTCAGAGGTGCACAGTAAGAGGACAAGAAGGAATGGACAAAAATTGGGCAACAAGAAATTCATATTAGATAAAAGGAAAAGCTTACCTGATCTAGTCAAACATGCTTTGAGTAGGAGGTTGGACCAGATGACCACCAGGGGTCCCTTCCAACCTAAATTTCTCTATGCTGATAAACGGGCTCAATATGCCACTACCGAAGGAAAAGAAAACAGGAGTGATTTCCCTCACAGACTAGCAAAAAACTGCAAAGCAACACTGAGCATGATGAAATTATCTTGATAGATATCTCTATCATTACCACCATTCTCTACCGGAGTCTTGCATTTTGCAGAGTAATTTTTTTCAGAATATGAGACAGTTTTATGCATGCCAAAAGAAGCCACATCTCTGCACAAAACATGCTGCAGTAGCTGGAGTCAGGAAACCCAAATTGAAACATATTTCAAAATACTTTTTGTGAGAGCAAGCTGAGCTTTGGGTAATTCTGGATTCAATTAAAACCCAGCAGGATTGACTAATGCTTCATGTGCTAGGAGAGCCATCATAAAGAACAAAAACCAGGCACAAAATAAGAAACACTTTCACTCAGGTAATATGAACAACATTTTAAATTTGTAAAATAGTTCTTTCTGCAGCTGTTTTACCATGACCAAATGCTGGCAGTAATGCCTCAAAGCAATTTTAAATAAGTAGCATGCCTGAAAAAGTAAACTTCACACTTAAATACAATGTTCAGAACTTTAAACACATGCCAAAAAACTTGACTGGCAAGTTATAAATCTTTTAAAACAATAAATGGATCTATTTTTCAACCCAAACCAATTGAGTTTTCAGAATGAGCAACCTGACAGCAGGAAAGGTGAAGGGGTGCGCTGGGGAGAGAAGTGACCAACCCCATTCTCGGATCAGGATAAGAAGCTTCACCACATTATCCTCACCCTCCCCTTAGCCATTTAGAAAGCCTCCAGCATTAACAAATAGCCTGAAGCACAGAAGAGAAGGAAAAAAAACATGGATATCACTGAGAGTGCAGTTCATGGCTGAGGATGTTTCCCATCTTGTACTTCCAACCCTTTCAAAATGGACAGAGAGGAAGAGGTAAATCTAACTAAAAGTGCCTGTGTTGGCAGTAAAGTTCCTCCTTGGCTTTCCCATTTCTTCAAATTAAAGAAAGAATGTCTGATTAAGCTTTAGACAGAAGCTTTCTTATTTTAATCAAGTAAAGCAACTGCTGCCTCTGGGAGGAGGTGGCACAGAGAAGACCCTAGGATCCCTGTCCTGGTTTGTTCCCATCTCAGCTCCGCCAGTTGTTTGTTAAAAGACTCTGTGTTTTGTTTTGTGACAGAACATGGAGCCACACAGGGTTCCCACCATCTTATTCCCCCTTCTCCTCAAAGTTTTGTTGATGACATGTCTCTTGACAACATTAGTCTTGTTTAAAGGCTGTTTTTCTTTTTTATAACTTTCCATGAAGCATTTCATTTCAATATTCCTCACATGGCATCAATAATGGCCATTGTCTCCTCCCTTCTTTTAGTACTGCAAAAAGAGCTGAAATCCACTTGTAGAAAAATTCAGAATAGAGTATGGGAAAAATCTGAAAAATGTTGTTTCTTCCACCTTAAGTGTTTCTTCCCACCTCAAAGCAGATGGGATTCACTGGGCCACACGCAGAGCTCTCTCCCACTCTGGTCACTAGTGTCCATTTATGATTTATGGGGAGGATAGCCACTTCCAGGACACAAAGAATCTGTGTCCTAATAGCATTAGGTTAGGATTAGAAGCTCCAGCCTTTCACCACTGACTGCATGCATGTGGAGACTTGCTTTCACTGTAGACAAGCCACTGTCAGAGGGAGAGGTGCTAACAAAAGCTGATTCACCAGCTCTCTGGCTAATCTGTGCTTTGACGGACATATAAACATGCTTCTAAATCAACCAGCAGGGCTAAGCATGAGCCCTGCTCCAAACCAACTTTCAGCTCACTTGTAAGATTTGTCTGTCTGAATGGCTCCAAAAACTCAGCCCCAAACATGTGAAAAGCTTTTATTCTACTTGAAAAGCCAGTCTAGCATGGTGGTACAAGGACCAGCACAGTGGAGGAGGTGGCTATTTAGACCTTACATCTCCTGGGAAGAGCAAGGCAGGCTGAGCTGGCAGGGTTGCAGCCTGTCAGGGGCATCTGCCTGGCTGCAGCAGGTCATGCAGGGATTCAGGTAAGAGCTAAGAGCCTTTAAGAAGGAATTCCTCCAGGAGATGCTCTCAGACACTCCTCTGTGAGACACAGAGAGCCATGATTCATCCCACAGCTCTGGAGCCTCACAGGGACCTCCTCTCACTTGGCTGAGGGTTTTTCTGGAAGGTACAGGAGCCTTTTGAGGCAAACATGAAAGCCCCTCTATTGAATTTGATGTGTATGGATGCAGCCAGGCTTCCCTCACTCCAGCTCTCTTCTTTCAGGAGCAAGTCAGGAACAAAAAGCTTCACTTTGATTATTTGAGAAACCCCACGGCAGGACTTGTGTTCAGTGCTGCCAAGCAGAAATTTAGGCAGGTCTGCATCCTAAAAAGGGCAAGTGCTCAGGGTTTTCTTCTGAAGCATTGGGTTGCTCTCTGCAGATAAATGTAACCAGATGTTCCCCATGGAGACCCAACTGCAACTCTTGGAGCTGAATTATGCCTTCATGAGAACTTGTTTGCAATCTGTATGAAAGTCTGTAAGGTCTCAGCTGGCCTGACAGCTGCCAGTGGCACCTGGGCAAGCTAGTCTGGCTGTCTATGTTTGCATAAATCCCATGCCCTTGAACAGCAGCAGCAGGATATCAAACTCTGTGCAGCTGGACTATTTTCTCCAATGTGAACATCACTGATACATTGCATGAGGCTCTCAGCCACTTACCTTTCAAAATGAAAGCAAAACGGAACACACACCACATCTGCAACACAACTTCATGGCTTCCAGCACTGAGACCACAAAGGTATATCTGGTTTTGTGTAAGTCTGAAACTGTCCTTGTAACCTGCAGGAACTCCCTCCAAAGCTGACCTGCATGCACAAAAAAAAACCCATGTGTATTGTCAATGTACTGTTTGCTTCTGGAGCAAGAGAAACTACCAGTATGGTAGACACACAGAGCTTGGTGAATTTTCAGTCACAAACTACATCTATTTTCCACATACTTCTGCTCTGCTTAGTGCCACAGATTCTAAGCACTCTGTGGTTTTCAAAAGAAAAAATGAACAAACCATTGCCTGCTTGCAAACTCTGAAGATCCCAAGGCCCACACAGGGGAAAAAAGAAGGAACATTTCAAACTGTGGCAAGTCCCAGGCTGAGAAAGCTTAGCACTACACCCTGGTGCATCAGCTGGGCAGTACAGTTAACCCAGAAGTTGTATGCTATGAGAAACTAACAACTCAGGCTGTTCCCACATCTTTGTGTTCTCATACCAGCACCAACATTGTGCATGAGGGAAAAGGGAGTCAGCCACCCCCACATTCCTTTTTACTCCATCCCAAAGACCAGGAGGTGAAGCCACAGAAAAAAACAAAGGAGAAAACCAACCACAAACTTATGTACATTGCTGCACTGCATCAGCTGAAAAGCAACACAGCCCCCATCTTTCTACAGCCCTGCCACGTGGCTTTGAACAAGCTGTGCTGCTCCCAAGCACAGACAGCAAAGTCTGCAGGAAACACTCACCTAAGGGTCCTTGTTTCTTGCTAATTCTCAGTACCCTAGGTGGGCAGGGTTTGAGTTCAAATTTGTGATCTTTTCAGGGGAATACCAAATTCCACCTGCAATAAAAAAGTAGAAAGCAAGCAATAAAAATGAGTTAAATTTAGGGAAAAAAAAAAGAAGAAAGATACCTGAAAACTGACTTTACAATTAAAAATCAATCATGAATGCCAACTCTGATACCTAAGTCTTTTCTTGGAGAAAAAAGAAAGTACAATGTTAACCGTGGTTGTGTTTGCTACTGATGTTCACAAACAGCAAGGTCTGAGCTGCTGCACTAAAGTAACAAGAATAATGTTGGATTCAACACAAAAGGAGTTTATAACAATGGAAAGGAAAAAAGCTGGTTTTAGTCACTGCTTAAACTGTGAACTAAGGAAGAGGGGTTACAGTCACAGACATCTTTGCCTCATAGCACCATATTACACATCATATAAAATGTATTTTATTGTCCTATAACTGTGCAATGTAAACTCCAACAACAAACTTCTCTTATGCACCCCAAACAAACTCCACACCATTATATACAATTTGCTTGCTAACTGTATAGCTGCTGTTTGTACCTAGTTAAAAAGGGATGACATTATGACTTCAAAGTGAAATTTAATAAAGGCTAAAGAGATTTGCCAACTATTTTCCTACAGACAGTAACAATATAATCAAACAATAATGCCCACTTAGCAGTCCGACTCAGTAGGTGCCACCTGGAAGTTAAGGCAGAAACTAATATGAAATAATACCATGCTATGAGTTCACTGACAACTGTGTGGTTCTAAAAATGAATAAAGCAAATACTGCACAAGCCCACTCATTAGCCTTGTCTGAGAAGGCAGATGAATTATACCTAACATGGTATCACAGAACAACTTCATTCCTCTTTCTCTTAAAATTTTCAGGCCTGCACTGACAGTAAAGGGACATGGAACTGTTAGTGGGAGCTGCTGGGACTTGTTCCCAAAACACACTGAAA